TAGCCACCTGGTTGTGTTTTCATAAAAGTCACGACTGTTCACTGGTATTTAATCAGCTCAAAGACTGTGTATTGCTTAAAAAAAGACCAGAATTGACACTATAAACATATTTAACCTACTACAGAGGACTTGGGAGCAGGAGGCCTGCACAAGCTGCCCAGGAGCTGTTACTCTAATGGCAGGTAAAACGCTCTGTGGAAGCATTACCTTTTTCACAACATTGTCCAAGTCAACTATCATGTGATGAAGATTTTCTTCTGCAGCAGTTATGTGAGATTTGGCTCCTGCGATCTGAGACTTCTTGGCGTTCTCGATTACGCCCTTCATCTTCTCCAACTCTTCTCTGAAAACAGAAGCAGCTGCTAATTATAATGCACACAGAAAAGTTGTCTTTATGCTGTCTGTATTGACAGGAAGAGCTACTGGGTAACTCTACTGGTGTTCCCATCTACCAGCTCTATGGCTAAAAATGCTGTGATTCAAGATTTTCCTTTCCACAGCCTGAAGCCCAAAGATGTCAGTGTGTCTACTGCACGTAAAATGAGAATTATTGATAGCACAATTAGTACTCAAGACTTAGCTGGAGGGGGCAGATGAAGAAGTTCACTGAAAGCAGTTAGTATTAGTAAAACTAAGTTAGTTATTAGAAGGCAGACATTTCCATCACATAACAGAGTACCAAGGAAATATTTTTAATATAGATGGCTTACTCTTGCAGAAGTGTTTTGGACATGGTGACTGGTGGAGATAAATGAGGATGGGAGAAAATTTATAGAGCTCTGTAAAGATAGATTATTGGTTTTGTGATTAAGAAAGAATCTCTTTGCTACAGCATCATTGGAAATCAAGGAAAAAGTGAGAAAGCGTTCATTTTCCAAATCCATTCAAACCAGTGGAGGTTTCCAATGACCTCACTGGAGTAAGGAGCAAGCTTTAAAATAAGTAAATAAATAAAAGTGAAGGCATCCAGAAGAGCAACAGAGAATGAAAGCTGGTGCACCTGGGCTTTGTGTTAGCTTTGTTTTACTCTTTAAAGCCTCAGTTACACCTCCTAACCATCTTTACTCAGCACAGCAACTTCAAATGTAAGAGAAGTTGATAACTTACACAGCAGCCATGCAGCTTCAAGGATGATGTTGCCCTCTCAGCCTCAGAAGCATCAAAGGTTTCCAAATTTATTTCTATCCTCATTGCAGGGGCAGTGTAATGTCCTTGTATGGTATTTGTCTGTCATCTTGTTTTTGCTGCTGTAATCCCTATGCAATGAGTCTGCACACCAGACTCAGCAACGTGGTTCATACAAACCTTGGGTTACGAGCAGTGCTCCATTTCAGAACTCAAGTTTTTTCTTAGACTTAGTAAAAATCTAACCTTAAAAGCAGCTCTGCTGACAGATGGAACTGCCAAATGATGCTGTAAGGTTTAATTTTGCATTACAACTAAAAAGCTAGTGATGTTACTGACTCAGTATACACAGACTGCAGTCATGGAGTGACCGGAGTTACAATCGTTTTAATATTGACAAAATTATCCCAAAATAATACAAAAAAGATTATGGATTTTTTTTTTTTTCAATCTTACTTGAACTTACCAACACTATATATAAGTATTAAGGGGATAAACAGTTCTTAAAAAGAAGAATAGGACTGTTTCAGATTCTTTGGTACAGTGAGGACCATGTGCACAAGCACCTAAGATGTAAACACTGCAAATTAAAATATTCACTAGCGTATTAAACCTCTTTTTTTTTTCATTTGGCACAAACACATCAATTTAACATGAACACAGGTGACTGCACACTTTCTAGAAACTCATCATTGTAGCTGCTCCTCCCTGGAAGTGTTCAAGGCCAGGTTGGATGAGGCTTTGAGCAACCTGATCTAGTGGAAGGTGTCCCTGCTGATGGCAGGGGGGTTGGGACTGGATGAGCTTTAAGGTCCCTTCCAACCCAGACCATTCAATGATTCTATCTAGTGTCTGCCAGCCCTCATATGGCTGGTGATGTTCACCTTAAAAACAAGCAACTCACTTGGCTTTCAGAAGGGCATCAGCGGCTTCATCCACTGCTCTCCTCCGATCCTTCAGCGCTTCCTCCAGAGTACGCCACTGAGATGATTTTTTCTCCCCACCAGCCTAAGAAGCACAGATTCCTCATCAGGGCCACCACAATCATGAATTATTTTTCCTTTCCAACGTTTTATTTTGGTTTTGTTTGATTCTCAATGTTTTTTCTACACCTGACCAACGGCCATTTGTCCACGGAGAAGAGCTTGTGTGAAGATCACTGTACGGTGCCGCAACATTTTGGGGGGAAATCTCTACATGCATCCAAGTAGTGTAATACTTTAAAATTGCTTTTAAGCTTAATACTTACAGTATCATTGCTTTTAAAGTAAGCTTAATACTTAAGCTTCTGAAGATATTTCTTTTTCTAACTACTAGATTAAATCATGAGTGCTTGTTTAGTTGCCCATATGCCAACGTTCATTCGATTAATCACTAAATTATATCCTCTGCTCCAGAACTGAACAGGCAGCAGTGGTTCCACAAAAACCCTGGCATCAGCGTACCAGAACCACAAGCTGGTATTGCTCATGCATCCCCTGCTCATTTCCAAACACGAAACAAACAATCCAGCAAGATTTTGGCAAAGGGAATGGTTCAACTGATTTATCAGGGTGGACAGTATGATACCCTAATTATATTTAGGTAAAATGGGGCTTGGGAATTAAAATAAAATGAATTAAAATACAATGTGAAGATTATTGGTGTATTAACTTGAACTTTTCTACTTGCTGCAGTAGTTGGGGGGAAAAAAAGGCAAAAGCAAAATCACTTTATTATTCATTCACACCAATTTCATGAGTGGAAAGATTAGTTAAAACTGTGATAGAACTTTGCTGCAAGAAAAGTTTATTACTTTAACTGTGAGATGAAAAGTTTTGCTGAACACAAGGCAAAAAAGAAAAAAAAAAAAAGAAGTCCCCATCTGTCCAGTTTACCTCAGAATTGTCCATGGCCTCCTTCAGTATTTGGGAGTGGGCGTTCACAGCTTGCACAGCGGACTCCTGGGCAGTAATCGCCTGGAGGGTTATACGAGCTGTTGTGCTTAGGGCTGCTTCTAGAGTCCCTGCAAGGGCTGGGGAAAAAGGAATTAACTGAATTAAACTATAAAGAAAAGAGCCTGAGAATTAGTAAAATGACACATTATATCCTCTGCACCTCCTTATGTTCCATTCTACGATCAAGAGTTAGTCAGTTCGGGAAATACACCTGCAGCCTACAGAAGAGGAACGGCTGCCAGACACACTCTTTATTTAGTGGAGTAGTAAGATGCAAGTCTGCATTTACAGCAATAAAACTACTCAGTGGAAGACCTTTACCACGTTTCTGCGAGGGGGGACACTTAACTCAGTAAGTATTTTCCATCTTCATTTGTTACAATGGTTATTAAGAGGAAACAAGTAATTTTTCCTACCCTCCACAAGGGAGATACATTCCAAAAGCAGAGTTATTCCTCCTAGCCAAGAAGGTGGTGGACTCAACTATCTATTCCTATAGATAGAGGAGCACAAATGAGCTATTAATTATTCACAGAATCACAGAGTCACAGGGGTTGGAAGGGACCTCAGGAGATCATCCAGTCCAACCCCGCTGCCAAAGCAGGTTCACCCAGACCAAGTTGCACAGGACTGCATCCAGGCAGGTTTTGAACATCTCCAGAGATGGAGACTCCACAACCTCTCTGGGCAGCCTGTCCCAGGGCTCCATCACCCTCACAGTAAAGAAATTTTTCCTTAGGTTTGTCTGGAAATTTCAGTGTTCCAGTTTGTGCCCATTGCCCCTTGTCCTGTCACTGGGCACCACCGAGAAGAGCCTGGCCCCATCCATTTGGCCCCCACACTTCAGGTATTTACAGACATTGATCAGACCCCCTCTCAGTCTCCTCTTCTCCAGGCTGAACAGTCCCAGCTCTCTCAGCCTTTCCTCATGTGGGAGATGCTCCAGGCCCCTCATCATCTCTGTGGCCTCTGCTGGACTCTCTCTAGAAGATCCCTGTCCCTCTTGAACTGGGGAGCCCAGAACTGGACACAATATTCCAGATGCGGCCTCACAAGGGCAAACTAGAGGGGGAGGAGAACCTCCCTTGTCCTGCTGGCCACACTCTTTTCAATGCACCCAAACTGGAACCAAACCAGAATGGTTAGTCAGAGTGAGCAACATCCGCCTTTCTGGAGTCAGACATTTGTTTCTAATTAGCAGGGTAAGTAAATCCACCTTTCCAGTAAATCACAGAATCATTAAGGTTGGAAAAGACCTCTAAGATCGTCCAGTCCAACCATCAACCCATCACCTCACCACCACACCCACTAAACCAAATCCCCAAATGCTACCTCTACATGTTTCTTGAACACCTCCACAGTACTCTGGATTTTTTCAGTTCATTTAAACGTCTTCATTTTTCTTCATTTCAACTTCTTGACTTGCAAAAAAGTCCTTTTACGAAGCAGACAATTAATGCCAAGCCTCTTGTTTCTGTTCATGTTGCTCTTCTACACCACACAAAGCTCTGAACAGGAGCACGCGGCAGCAGACCACAACCAACTTGTTTACTCCGAGCTGTTAAGTCCAGGCTTGTACATCCTTCTCATCCCTCACGTGCAACAACAGCCCAAGGCTCAGACTTTGGCTGAGGACCAGAGCACTCAGAGGAAAGTCTGAGTGTGGTCAACACATCTGCCAAGACCCCATTTCACGTGCACAGCGGTCGGACAGGTCGGATCAGACACAGCACAATGCACCAGCACCTCTTCCACCATCAGCCCTTCCAACTGACATAGTCTAGTCTAGTCTAACCTGCCCCAACTCTCCAAGCAGGGGAATGGACTAGAGACCTTGGAGGTCCATTCCAACTCAAAATTTTCCATCATTCTTTCACTATCAGTCACTCCTCAGTGGGCAGAAGCTTCAGCACCACTCATTCTGCCAACACAACACAGGGACAACAACAAAGAGTTGCATAAGCAACTTAAGAGCTCTAAAGCCAATACAGTCCAACAACTCTTCTGTCATGTACAACACATGCAGGAAAACCAAGAGTATGGACTTACCTGATATCTTCTCTTGCTCCTCTTTGTCTTGCTGGGCAAGCCGGGCTGCAACTTCTTCTGGTGACCGTTCTTTTATAGCGTGGGAATCTTCATGTTCTTTACCTAGTCAGAAGTAAAATGAAGAGTTAAACTGTTTAAGTGGAGAGTCCAAATTAGTATATGGATTACTTGTAGGGAAGTAACTTTCTTTTCAAAACTGATCTGATTTTTATAGTCAGTATCACTTTATAAATCTGACTTCTGCACGAAGCCATGTTGAAACCACCTCAAGCATTTTTATATCCATAATTACAAAGGCCAGCCTCACATTTTCTTAAAATTAAAGACAGTAGCACAGACACCTCACATGTTTCTGCAGATTTTATGTTGTGTAGTTACAAAAATATACAAAATTCAGAAGTGAAAGGCAAAGCAAGAAGTGAACAAAACTTATGGAGCCAAGTTTAAATTTTAACTGAGCATCTGTTCATATTTTTTTTTCCCATTCTCCTTTGGCATGCTTGGAGAGTTCAGCCAAAATAACAAAACATTAGTGAGAGGGCTATGGTCAATCACGATGATGCTCTACTCTGTAGCCTAAGGCTACTTAAAATGCCTTAAGAGTGAGCACTGACCTAAGAAATTCTCTCAAGACCAACAGCAAGTCTGCATCTGAACTGAGGAGAGAGCCCAGACTCACACTGCAACAAAAACCATCAGGGCACCTTTTAATCATGCTGATCCTAACTCTGAAGAATGTATTTACTTATCACTGGCACACTTTTTATGAAATCTGTTCATACATAAAGAAATTAATATAATCCCATCTGAAAGAGAGATTAGTAGAATCTAGAAGCTAGTGTATCTTGTTGAGTTAAACAATAAATGCAGTTTCTTCACTTGGCCCTGAGCAGACACGCTTTTCTGAATCTCAATCAGAAAGCCACAAAGAGAGAGGCCAACTGGACTGTACAAGTTCCAGTTCAGCATAAAGGCAGGTTTTCCTCTTGCATTCATGTCTATACCTGCCCTAGGGATCGATCTCAGCTTCTTAGTATGCTAAAGATCTATTAACAGATCATAGATTCATAGAATCACAGAATGGTTTGGGTTGGAAGGGACCTTAAAGATCATCCAGTTCCAACCCCCCTGCCATCAGCAGGGACACCTTCCACTAGACCAGGCTGCTCAAAGCCTCATCCAGCCTGGCCTTCAACACTTCCAGGGAGGGGCATCCACAACTTCCTTGGGCAACCTATGATGATGGAAGTTTTCTTCTGCAAAAGGCACAAAGAATCACACCTTTAAAAACTGACAAGTGCCAACACAGAAGTGAGAATTTAAGCACTCGAAGCTACATAATTTTGTTTTAGTTCATCGTGTTCATATGATCTTTTTCACCTTCTTCAGTCTGGATCCCCGGAGCTGGCACCGACATGGCTACACCTGTTGCAGAGATGATCTGTGCCGCAGCCTTGCCTGCTGTTAAACACAGTTAGAGAACAAAACCAGTAAGAACAGGGATATAAGACTTATCTTTTTTCCTCTGTGGAAATACAGTCTTTGGACACTGATATTATTATTTCCAGAAAAATATAATTTCCTGGACAAACAGCAACTTACACATACACACATGGTCATGAGAGATCAATGTAAAAAGATGACACAATTGCTCCTCTCTAAATTGGCACCACTCGATCTGTAATCTCCAAAATTAACTTTCTCGTGCTTGCAAGAAGAGGTAAATGGCCTCAGAGTGCAGCACCCAAAGCTCTCTTCCTGACGAGTCTCATATCTAGACTGTGCAAGATAGTCATTGTTTATGTTAAGATTCCAAACATTGTATAAGGTAAATAATTTTTTTAAAGGAAAACAAAAAAAATCTGAAGTAATTTTAGACAAATTTTCTTATGACTGAAAATAACATTAATTCTAATAAATGATACACATACACACCTTGGACCACTCCAAAAGACACTTTTAATCTACCCTAGGATGTATGATGGAAGAGATCATTAAGTCTTTTGCTTCTCTCTACATGACATTCTGTAAAATTACCTTCTTTTTCCTCTGAAGGAGCAACAGTTTCTGTTTTGCTCATCTGGGATTTGGTAGCAGGCTGTTTAGACTCCTTCATTACTTCTGCTACAGATGAGATCTTCAGTGGACCTTGCTGTATCTTGAAAAAATCAAAAATAAGAAATAGAATCAGTTTTCCAAACAGCCTCTGTCTCACCGATTCCATTATAAAGGAAAAGAACATCTCCATGTCCAGATGACTGTATCATAAATCTAAACTTCAAAACACACATAAGAACAGTAGCAAGGCCATACAATTTCTTGCCTTGATTTTTAATTTAGAAGGAATCTTTACAATTTTCACCTCTCCAAAACTGAAGGTATAGTAGTGGCAGTTTTCACTACAAATATTTGTTAAGGTATGCATAAAAAGCAAGTAATTTCATGCCCCAAACATTCCAAACACTTGTGAGTGTTTTGAAAGACTAAAAGTAATGCAGAAACTATAAAAACCACGAGTACATGAAGATCTGAAACAATTCCAGAGAGCAGGTTTCAATTATTTCCCCTTGGACATTATTTAGTCCACACCTTAAAGTAATTCAGTTGACACTTCTCTTAATTTCATACCTGTTGAGTGTTTATCATTAAAAAAAAATTAGGCCATCAGTTTTACACAAGCTCAGTTTTTTCAGGTAGGTGTTCCAACAGCTTGCTCCCTCAATCACAGTTTTTTGTCCACCAGCACTTATGGGAGTCACTCCTCCCATCCTGCCCAGTTTCTAGGCAATTCCTTTTCAAGTTATAGTGGAAAATACATGTAATTGTTTTAAAGATACATAACTGCATAATTAAAGTTATGTTTAAAAAGGAAAAAACCATTATTTTATCACTAAACAGAAGATGCTACAGACATGGTGTGGGTTTGACAGGTGTGGACGTATCAGATCTGCATGGCTGCACTGATTTCCCTTTGGAAGGATTCAGATGCTAGCGTTCAGGGCAGGCAAACACTCAAGTGCAGAGTACTGCGAGGTTTTATGATGTTAACCTGTTAATATCCATCATGCAAAGCCACAAGGTAAAAAGAAAAGCATCTGAGTCAGAGCCATGACTGGGCAGGTGATAACTTTGCTGTCTGACCAGTGTTTTGCAAAATATACTAGTGGCTGGGAGGTGTTAGGAGGTTGGATGATCACGAGTGAAGTGTAGCTAAAACCAGAATAGACACAGTTTGGGTTAACTGATATTCTCCCATTCATTAACAGCAGCTTCCTTAAACTTCAATTAAAAATATTTTGGATTTCTTGAAGGTCAAATGACTTCTGGAAGCTCAGGACAAACACAGCCAGAGCAACTTTTCAGCATTCTTGGATAATCAGGAAGCATTTGCTTTCAGGTGCAGGAACAGAGAAACTTCCAGACTGGATTTCCAGAGCTGTGCTGAGGGCAGTGTCAGATTTTCCCTTCTGCAGGGTCAGGCCATTAAGATTTCAAAGTATGGTGTTTATGCACAGCTCTGTACCATTCAAATCTTTATTTATACAAAAATGTTCTCAGTTCTCTTTAAAATAAACTCACCTTAGAATAATTTTTGTTTTCTAGTCCTGATACATCACTATCTACAATAAGCCTCTAGTAAAATAGTTAAATGCCAACACATTGCCTACCCCTCTCTCTCCCAAATGCATTTCTGAGTATAAGCAGAGCAGCTATTTAGTTAGAATCTGACTAGATTATTTTTCTATAAATAACAGATTTACAACCCAGAGACCTCAATCACAAGATGATAATGGGAAAGGTACAAGCAGCACTGTTATGCAGCACAAAGTAGTACCTCAGTTCATAATTCTTAAACTTTCTTAATTTAAGAACTCTTAAATTCTTAGCACACAGCAGAATTAACCAGAATTTGAAAACTAAAAGCAGATGTTCTCTTTAAAAAAAAAAAGGAAAGGGTGGAAGTGTTCAAGGCCAGGCTGGACGAGGCTTTGAGCAACCTGGTCTAGTGGAAGGTGTCCCTGCTGATGGCAGGGGGGTTGGAACTGGATGACCTTTAAGGTCCCTTCCAACCCAAACCAGTCTGTGATTCTGTGATTCTATGAAGTGAATGGGAAACACTTACTGGTTTCTTTGGCACTGGTACAGTATAAGGTGCAGGACCCAGTGCCATCTCAAAGAGTTTATCAGAGTAGGGAACAGCCTTCTCCACGCTCTCCCGGAACTGTGTATCATAGCTGGCGTACAGGACGGTTCCACCTACTCCTCCACCCACAAACAGGACACCTGCACCCACGATTTTGCCTACAGAAACACTGGGGGTGGGGGGAAGAAGAGTGAAAGTTATGTAAACTGTATTACATGACAAACACCAAGCAGTCTGTGAGTCTTCAGCTTACAGCTGGGGACAACCAGGCTGTTCCAGAAGCTTGCCAACAAACCCACCACCCGCTTTAAAGCACTTGCAGCACCAGTGACTCCCTGCTACCACACTGGTTCACCACTAACCCAAAGCTACGACAGCACCCCACAACCTTCCTTCTAAGTAACAAGCTAATTGATTAGCTTCATTTCAGCCTGACTGAATCAAATGAGGAACACACAGAACCATGAGAATAAGTTATTCAAAAATCCCTCCCACCACCAATCTGCTCTCACATGAAACTAAGGAGCAGATTCCCTCTTGGCCAACAAACCAATCCCATCAAAACCTTCCACGTACCCAGACTCTTCTCCCGAGGGGGTGGCATAGCCACGGTACAGTCGTAATGGATGGAGCGAGGCTCTCCCACACCGGCTACTCTGCAAGGAGGGGAGGAGGCGAGAGTTAAGCAGTGAGCACATTGAAACCCCTTCACCTCAACAGCAGCACCGCACGGGTTGGCTCCATCACCACATCGGAAGCAGCAGCCAGCACTGGAGCAATGACGCTGGACCCTGTTTGCCCTAAACACAGAAGAGACCTTTCTCACACACAGCTTGTGGGTTAAGGGCTTTTTAAGAAGTAAACAGGCATTTTGAAACACAGGGAGGGGAAAAGAAAAAAGGAAAAAGGAAAAAAAAAAAACCACCACAACAACCACC